GACTCACATATTGTTTTATTGCCAGACGTAATTGGGTCGCGGTGCGCCATTCAGGCCATGGGATATATATTTAGAGCGTGAAAGAGACACTTCGCGAATGCCAAAGATATTATTATCCCCAATTCAATTCTGCGTTCGAATAATGACGAGCCTTGATAAAACGTATCAACCGAAAGAATACAGAGTACCTACACAATTAGCAAAAATATCAAGAACCAAAAAATTCCCAATGCGGGGCTATCACGCCGGAACATTTAGCAAAGATAAGATTGCGATACTTAGTACTGTAATCTGATATTTTGAATGTTGATTAGCGTACTTGTGCAAATATGAAGTTATACAAAGCGAACCGTATTATAATAGGATACGAAGTAAATGAGAAAGCAAACACGAGTCCGTCAATGCATCTCAGACATGACAATAAGGTACGACAAAAAATTGTAAACAAGGTGTGGAGCGGCGCACGGTGCGGCCCGCACATAACAGTATGATATATATAAAATAGTGGCGAGCATTGAGATTCGGTGCACCTGACATTCGCATATTTTTTCTAAACAGGTGTCGGCGGCACGTCATTCATCGCGCGTGTCGATGCCCTATATTATTGTATGTCTTTCAAGTTCATTGAGTCACACAATGGCCATATAATTGGTCGTTAGCGTATGTCAAAACACGTCGGCGCGGTTCATAATGCTTTACATAATTAGGTTCGTTTGCATAAGCGATTATTATGCGTGTCTTCGCCGATGACGTCGGCACCGCTATGGCTAATTCATTCATTTGTTTATGAGTTTACTATTACTTTTACTCCACGTGGTCGATTGTTTACAATGCGAGCGTGAATTTAACGGCAAATGTGTAATAAAAGTTGTTATTATTACGCGGTGTGCTTAAGGAGGAGCGGCTCGGTGTGACGTTGATTCATAATGCGTCTTGATAGATTGTTTGTTTACATAAATGTTTATTTAACGTGCGTGGAGTGAGGTTAGAATCTCTGCCGTGTATGGTAACTATTTACATTGTTACGGTGTTGTAACTGAATACGAGAAATTGAGACAAACAACGTGATTTTTATGCATGTAACTAGTAGCATTTGGTACTGATTTGTTTGAACAACTTCTAATATTGCATACTGTTAGTTTTAGTATTATAATATAACACACAAATACTCGTTTCAAGTCAATTTTCTGCACATTGCTACTTCAAAACGTAGATGCAAATGAAAGGCTCGGTTTTCTTTGAAACACACTCTTTACTACAAATTCCGTGAAATCACGCACGTTATGCCTCTATACTTTTAATTCTAAAACGTAGATTCTTCTGTCACTATTCTATCAATGTGCCTTCATATAATATAACATTCGTCGCCACTCGTGTACTCCTCAAGAATGCCGAGTAAAGATATATAATTATTCTGAACACGAGACAATTGACTTGTAAGTAAATAAATACATAAGAAAATTCCTCATAATTAAGATGAGTTCCCTTTCTTTAGTCCGGCGGAAGACGCCCAACTGCGCTGGAATGCTTACTGTATATTTTTTCGGAAGACCGGAACATTCCTGCTACACTTCGTCTTCCGGACTACCGATACCCAACAAATGTTCAAACAGACATCCCTGGCTTATTTTGGATTTCCGATAGGAACCTTTTGATATCATATTTTATATTTAAAACAAAGGATTGTTATAAAAAATGGCGGAGAAAGGAATGTTAAAGGAGAATTGATATTGAAAGAAGAAGTTTCAATGATCTAACTAAAATGTCGATCAAATCAAAATATAATTCATTAAACGAATCTAATGTACTAAGTCCTCGTTCTAACATTTGTAGCATTCGAAATTTTATTCTAATAGCAGACAAAACTTCTTAATCGAAACCACAAATTGAAGCCTATAAAAATACATTAAATTACAAGGTTCATTTCAAGCACTTGTTGATCGCATTTTTTGCTATAAAGATGTTAATCTTATCAGCTGTCTTTGTACTTGCTCTTGACCCGTCGGGAATCCTCCTTCGTACCCTATTTCACTATCGTTGGGCCAGACTAGCCCAGTCATTGTGACTGGCACTTTTTGCGTCTTTAATCAACCATAGTTTTTATGAAACAGTTAAGTATATGACAGATCGTTCACTCAAAAGAGGTTAATAACCGTTCAAACGAACTATTTATTTATTATGGTAATATATTATGTTTTGTATACGTACGGCTGTTTTTTTAATTAGCGTGTTTCTTGTTTTTTTTCCTTTACGCTAAGAAATCAGTTACCTACTGTGAAGTTATGTAATTTGAGTAATAAAGTTTTTATGTTTCTTAGTCATGTCTAAGACGTTGTAAACATTACCTGCGTTAACAAAGACTTGGAATACCAGGTGGAGGTTGTATTAGATTTAATTTTCTACCAAATACATGTTGTAGTCTTACATTTAATAATCTGTGGTTCCAAACACTGGACGCAAACAATAGCGCGATAGATCCTGGGAATATCGTTCTAAAGTCACAATTTGACTAATTCAACAAACGTTTTGATAAAACTAGTTTCATTATAGCGCTTCTCATTAACAACCAGTGATAGCAGCGACGGTAAGGCAGCTATCGAACGAAACCGGGTATCACATCTAGTTCATTACATTAGGTGGCCAAACTAGTTACTGTTAAACTGTGTGTATGAAGGAGTTTAAACTCTATTAGTTGTGTGTAAAGTTTGAAGTCGTTTGGGGTGGGTGTGTGAACTACGTAAGTGCATAAGGGTAGTTTGTGCATAGTTTCTTGGTACACGTGACTGCAACAAGTCGCATTCCACGCACCCCCCACCCGCCCAGGCCTACGACCAACCCCCTACCGTGTCATAACTTATACACCTACAACTATAACAATATTTATGTCACATCACATGATAACATGCAAGCGATTATAAATAGATCGGAATTTACTTTTGTATCAAATGTTTATTTATAATGTTGTATTTTTAGAATTCGGGTAACGAGTTTGTATCTCCATTAATGAGTGAAATTCTCGGAACATGGCGCGTTCGGAAACAAATGTGACAATACAATACGAGAACTAAAATATGTTTAGAGTATTTAATTATTTGTTTTTTTTTTTACATTTTATTTCATTATTACAATTACAATTTCTCTGAATTTGCTCGCGGTTTTTCATTTGTTCTTGTACTACTGAAATACTTGAACTACAATAAAAATTACTGGATCTTTTAGTTTTTTTTTTAATCGGCAGTCTATAGGAGACTAAGCTCGAAGTTTTTTGTACCTTTCATAGTGTCTGTGTATGCTGTAACTGAGCTTATGAATAATGTATTTTAGAAGGATTGAAGTTCCAAATAAAAGTTTCTAACTGTTGTCGTGAAGGAGACGAATGCCTTATCTTATAGTCTTTTTCGTATTTTTGTTTTGTCCCTTCTGACTTAAACATGTTAGGACTTTTGTATAGTTTCTAAGTAATTGTAGAATTTGGTCTGAATTTCGAATGAGGTCAAATAAACAAAGAACTGAAATCATGTTCCAAATGAAGTTTCAATTAGGCTCTTCAGTTCATCGGGGTATAAAGAAGTATGAAAGCGACCAGTGGTCTCGCCAATGGTGAATCCAGTTGAGGAGTAAATCTCAATAAGTAGAATGGAGGAGGCGCTCCGAGCCGGTGCTGGGCGGGGCGCCCCAGCCGTTGCCATGGCAACGCGCCCCTAGCCGCGCCGCTCCGCTACCAGGAAAACCCACCAACCTCCGAACAGTCCAATTCTTTTACAAACGAGGTCTTCACTACAAGACCAAACTACTAACTATTACTAGTGTCTCGACCCGAATATAAACTTCAGACATTTTCAACGTCCTAATTCACATGTAATCGAAGGTCTACCTAATTGTTCGATTCTAAACCAATGTCATGTCGGTTTTAGTATCATCCAGCTTAACGAATCGCAGTGGACATGCATTTATTCATTACATTCGTGTAAAAACCACGACGCATTGTAAAGAGTCCAGCAATATCGTAGCAATATAGAAAGTAAAGTGCGTTAGCGCTGGCTGGCGATGGCGAGCCAACTCGCCGATAATTAATGTGGAGTCAGTGGAGTCGAGCGAACGGGCGCCGCGCCGCGCCAGCCTCGCCAACCACACAAAAAACCCGCTTCGACACAAAAACACCCGCCGCCAGAACGAGAGCGCGCCATGCGATAGAGGGAGACAACAACAACTACGTATTTCTGTGACGAGTTCTCGCTCGCCTCGAGCGTCGCGCAGTTATCGAGATTCGAGTCGAATACCGCGCTTTGATTTAAAACTCCACCGAATGCGCCCTTCTATCTATCACATGGCGTTTGACAGGTCGCCGGAAACGCGCCGACCTGTCAGATTTGAAAAAAAGGCGCGCATCTTTCGTAGGTTTATGAATATTTTAAGGGCTTCTATAGAAACGTATTAAACCTTTATCTAAGATAATTACTGATGTAGTCATGATGAAACCAACACTTAGTAGTTGCACCATATTATTCCAAGTCCCAGGTATAAAGAAAAGTTAGTTCAAAAAGTTGTGACAAAGATATTGATACAATAAATACAACGAACAGACAAAGAGAATGTGAGATTAATGCTATAATATCCCATCCTTAAATATATTTTTCCATTCAAAAAACTTTTTACAGAAATTATCGAAAAAATATATATATTTGACCGAACGCTATAGTTAAAGTAAAAACCAAACCGATGCGACTATCGTCCTAACAAAAAAACTTAAACTTTTCTACCCACTTTACAGAACCTCTGTTATTAAACAATGGTCAAACTTTTTAAAAACTTCATCCCCGCACAGTTAATCCATGCACCTATAGACTTCACTTCGAGTTTCATCAGTATTACAAACTTGTAACAAAATTGTAGTCAACACAAAAACTATGACTGAGAACACAAGTCGAATTTGAAATTAATGCGAAACCTTCGCTACCGCGTCACTAAACTTACTACTAGGACTAACTACGATCACTTACCTGGAAATCACTCCACATTTTCATTGGGATACACCATAGTTCCGATACGAAAACATCACACGATTCACGATAACAACTGTCAAATATGTCACAGCACGGCGTCACAGACACGAGCGAACAAGGTGGTGGCCGAGCGCAGACTGAAGCTAGCGGGTAGCGCGGCGCGGCCCGCCGGCACTTACGTCGTTCTGGTACGCGCCGCTCGGGCCCGGTCGCCGCGGCTCGGCGCGCCTCGGCTCGCTGTGCTCGGCCCGCAGCGCCCACCTGCGACTGTTGCGACTCGGTTCCACGAACAACAAAACCAAACACAGACCCATCGACTGCCTGCCGTTGCTGCCTCCACAGCACATTGAGGATAACACCACAACTACCGACCTTCTGTGTCTCCTTGCTAATGCAAGATACGTGTATGTTTGCTGTATCTGTAAAGTTTTTCTTGTAATTCTCCATTTTGAACAAGTACTGCATTAAATGACAATACAAGAACCAGTACAACAAATACAAGTCAGTATAAACCTGGTCGCGAGGCACGCAGAATCTGAGACACGCAGTATCTTATTCACCCACTTGATAACAAAGCAGAGTAATGAAATCTGAATCCTAACACTCAAACATAAAGAGCTCAAGTTTTCAGTCAACTGATAACAGAAAGTGACAAATAAAAAAGCTTTCTGAACAAAGTTTTGAGTGCGCCGCGCTACGGCCGGCGTAGCAGGAAGTTCGTAGCAGTAAAACTTCGTAGCGCTCTCGTAGCGTGAAAGTTTTGATTTCAACGATTTGCGTTGCGGCGAAGAGGGCCGCGAGGCCGCACTAGCTCTGCGACCCTGTGCCTTTTACCATGGAACTCTACCGACCAATGTACACTAGCGACCACACACTGCTGTGCGATGTACATTGCCGCATAGCCACGTAACTCGTCTCATCGGAAGCGAACCCAGCGAGCAATCGTACTTACGACATGAAATGTACTCATAACATAACTTTGCTCTCAGATTTATCTGTTCGTTCATCTCTCACGAGAGTGCGCCACTTGGCTGTCGACCGACTACGCCCTTACCGTGTTTAGGTACGTTTTGCAAATCACCGCATGACAAAAGAACCTTCAGTTTGTCGCGTTCCATTCCGCGTGCAGTTCGAGCAGCGCGCCGCGGCGTGGATAGCTCGCCGGCAATGGGGCGTGTGCCGATCGATACTGTGGCTACAGATACCGCGCCGAAGAGTAAAATCATTCGGCGGTAATTTCGAGTAGTCGCTATTATTATAAATATTTGGGTCGTTCGATATCATTATAGAAATGAGTTTATATTTTTAGGGATGTAGAGTAATGTCAAATGTGTGCATTGTGCTTGGTGGTGCAGTGGTCGGTAACGATGACGAGGCGTTTATGAAAGATAAGTGAACGCGCTCGTGGCGAAATGAAGTTAAGTTACAAGTTGACTGCGTGTGCACTTATTGCGAAGTAAACTTATTCATCCAATAATACTAAAGTTAAAAGTTAATACTAAAGTAGGTACATAAATCTTACAATTTTAGTTTCACATTAAATAGTTTTATTACTGTATCCGTGTTGTTAGATCGGAGATTGAGAATAATAATTATAAAATTAAAAACTAAGTACCTACATAAGATACTAACTTTCAGAACTACATAACTCATTGATTACTTGTCCTATTTATCGGATGCAGTACAATCCAGGAAAATATCTCTTAAAAATTGTAGTCATTTATATGCACATGGGTAACTTCAGATAGGGGTATGTAAACAACACAAAGATACTGAAAAACAAAAACAAAGAACTTGATTAAAATAAAACTTCAATAAACAAGACAGTTTCAATAAAAATATATATTAATAGATTCGATTTCAAGCAGCAAGAAAGCCTGTGGTGTAAACGCAAGGTGTGCAGTTTGCGCATGCGTCAACCTGCCGGTGACATGCACGGTGCGCGCGAGTCGCCAACCCGGCAATTTACCGACGACGCATGCGCGAAGCTGACTCCTCGCAAGTATCGTTTTACTGCTTGCACTTGAAAAATATGTAGTCGTACGATTTGTAGGTAACTTATATTAAATAAAGCGTTTGCATTTTTTATGGTTCTGCTGTTTATATAACTGCATTCAGGTTACGTACTTATGTACGTTTATTTAGCCTTGATAACATTTAGAAACAGTTCTGACAGAGAAAGAAAGTTTTAGGTGTCTATTAATCATGATATAGTTCAGTTGTCTGTATTTGATTAATAAATATAATACTAGGAGTTCTGTTCCAATGCTCATTTCTGTCTCCAGTGTTATATTTTTTATATCACATAATAAGTATGTATATGGCCATAAAACTCTGTGATATAGTTATGCTGTTTTTTCTTGATTATAAAGATTTTTGATATTAAAAAGTCATATGTAACACCTCAATTTCTTTTTAATTTTCGATACAATAAAACTTGTAATTTACAGTCTTAAAGGAGAATATCACAAGACGACTATAACAAAGGGACTATTTAATGACACAACTGTACATCTATTTGAGTGACTTAGGTGATGTTCATGTTATATTTAAGTATTTTTTTCGCCGATGGTTGTCTTCATCATCGGTTAGAAAATGAAAAAAGGCCTCTCCTTAATTCACTACGTCGAACAAATCTTCCACTTGCCTATTTTACTACAATTCTTAAAAACCCACTTTCACTATTTAAAATTATTTAAATCCAATTATAATAAAAAATCAACAAGTCTATAAGAAAATACCACCATTCATTCGTATTTGAATGGATGTAATACAATGAATTTGATTGACTGAAAATTTTGATAGATACAATATTTTATCTAGTTACTCTAATATTTACCTGTTTATACATATCTACCTACAACTACATACATAATTATACGCTACATATTTCAAAAATCATTCATGAAATTGTATTATTTGATATCTACTGTTGTATAATAATTACAACACATTGTTATGGAATACAAATAAATAATTAAATGTGGTTCGTTAATGTGGTGGAAGGAAAAGTATATATTTGGTTGGCTATAGTATATTGACATACATAAAAAACATCGCGCCTCTTATTGCCCAAAGGGGTAAGTAGACAAAGGTGCTAAGCGTGTAAAATCTGAAGATAAAGTTTGGTCAACAATCATTGATAAACCTTGCCAAAAACTAAGTACCTATAAAACGCTAGGAGTAGGCATCTATATCACCAATCGTATATATTTAGCCCGTTGCCATGGCCACCGCAAATTCAGAAGATTCGCGCCAATCGGTAAGAAATCCGTTAAGGTTTTTTAAGGTATCTTTTTCCAAATATTACATGTTTTTATATATAATTGTAAATATATCAGTCGGGGAAATACTACTGGATTGGCAGTTGGATTTTTTTAATTCTCTGTTATAGCGCGGAGTTTAGAGATTTTACCCGGTATCAGAGTGTACAAAGTACACCAGGTAAGTATAGATTATCATCCACTAACTATGGGATTCATAATACAATAATTGACCCCTTCGAAGATTAAAAGGAATGACGTCATAGTCTGTACGCCTTGATTTTGAATTTGACTTTAACGTGGTATTTTTTTAAAAACTCTTTTGTTCCCACGGTCATTAAAATTTGGTACCTAGCTTCACTGACTGATACACTAACCGTCTATTCTTTATATGTTGACGTTGCAACAGTACCTGTTCCAGGTGTAGTTGAAATAAATGCTTTGACTTCGACTAGTCTAGCTAAATTCAAAATGTATTCTCAAAAATATTACCACAATACCACTTTACTCATAGTTCCTATTGTCTATTGTTAAGGAGAGAAGAAAGACATTCTTATCAGTACCACTAGATTGTACTAGATAACAGTAGTTCCAGGTAAAAATTGGACTGCAGTCGGCATAGTGACTAGGCGACTACCTGCTGTGAACGTGTTACGGGTTTGGTGGACGCGGAACATTATAGCTATATATAGGTATATGTATAATATTATGTGTAATATATATTGTACTATTTTATAAATGTGTAGAATATATAAGAAACACTCTTACTGTCTAAGTAACTTTATCTATGTACATTATGGGTTCCAGATTATTTCTCCAAAAAATATCAACAGTCTGGAACAGTCCATTGCTGAACTATGCATATATATACCTCCTATACCTACATAAATATTAAAAACTATTATATCTACACATAACAATTTTAGCAATAATTGAGATCGAAGTTTAAAAGGTTCAGGTTTATCAGAGTGCGCTGCTGCATGGTATCTATCAAATGTGTGAGATCTTAGTCGGCTTTTACAATATCCTGATTCTTTGTAAATTGTAATCCTAATAACATGGACAATCCATGTAATTTATTAATAATCCAATGACGAATTTCTTGTTTCTTTCTATAGATGATATTTTATTTTCCCGTCGAAGTCCGAGAACTGTTTACCTGTTAATAAATCGCTAAATATATAAATTGTATACCTAGTTATGTACATCAGAAAATAACTGTAAATGTAGAACAAGGCATATTCAGAGCAAAGTTAGTCATGTTCCCGACTTCTTAGCAGACTGTTTTATTTTTTCTTTAATTCTAGAAACCAAGTGTCTCATTCCTCGAACAAGTGAACGTAGTAGTGTTTATGAAGTTTTATATTATTATACTTTCAGGTTCATGGTTATCATCACCATCAATTCAAACATCGGCGTCCCACAATAGTTTCTGGTTCTTTTTGGCTGGTTGAAAGTAAACTTTATCTTTAAGCTAATAAGTACCACGTAATAAGATATGGTGATATTGAAATAATTTTGGGGCCTGTACTATTACGTATAATTTTAACCATTCAAGTCAAATAATAGTTTACGCTTTACGCTATCTAAAAATCGAAACGAAATATAACAGATAATCTAAAACAAAAATCCAGAAACACAGCTCCAACGAAGCAGCAAATTCAACCTTATATTATTTCGCAGTACCCGAGTGATTACAACTATATTCTGTCATTACACGGAGTTTTAATCGCTATACTGCATTATAATAAGTGTTATTTTCCTGTCAGCGCTTGCGCATGGTGCGTCATCACCATTGTTATAGGAATTCTCTGTTTTCAGTACGTCAAGGGTAATGACAGTGGCTGTGTGGTGTCGTACAAGACAATCTATGGATTGTACTGACATACCTG